GGCATGTGTCATTGTTAATAAAATTATTACCTTTAATGGGTATATTTGTCAGATTTTCAGGCAAAAAAAACAACACGCAAATGAGATGTCATGTACGTAGTTTCCGTTCATGTGTAATATACTTGCCCTCCATTGTGGGATATGTGGTTATAGTACTACCAACAGCATCGTATTCAACATTGGGGAACCAAGGACACTAGAAAACGTATTTTCTAGTTGTAGTCTCTTTTGTGGGAACAGACTAGAGAAACTTGACTAGCACTGCAGCGATTAACGCGAGTGGTTGAGCGCCAACTACGTCGACACCATTTGAACTATCGTTAATTCAAAATGGCAGTTTCTGCTGCACGGAAACACTGGGAGCCACAACGGGGGATTTATTTTAGCCAAACTGGCCATGGTGAGATGATAATTGCTAAGTTATGTGAGCAGAAAAACACGAACTTTCTGTGTGACATCCAAATTGCAGTTGCAGACCAAACATTTCACGCACACCGGTGCGTTTTGGCACTTTGGTCAGAGTATTTTTCGAAACGGCTGATCAACTCGACAAGTGCTGACAGTCGTCGTACAGAACTTGATATCGGAAAAGACATTTCGAAACGCATATCGTCGCAAACATTTTCTGAGCTCTTAATTTTCATGTACAGCGGACGCATAGAGGTTAGTGTCGAGAGCAGAGCTCGTATAAAGAAATCTTCCGAATTTCTTAAAATTCAAGCTCTGCATGATCACTGTTCTATAGTTGGCGTGTGTGATCAATCTTATGGTTTGGGGGCACGGCTGTTATCGACAACGAGACTCCACAGAAAACACGCTGAACTATGCGACGTAACTCTGCGTATAGCTGGTAAACGGTACCATACTCACAGAAGTATTTTGGCGGCATGCAGTCCTTACTTCGAAGCAATGTTCACACACAACATGGCAGAAAGGAACCAATCAGTTATTGACTTACCGTGCCTCACAGAAGACCAAGGACGATTTTTTCTGACGTATGTTTACAACGGGGGTATTACAATAAGTTCGGAAAACATTGATGATGGTGTAGTCATAGCAGATTTCCTAGGTATGCTGAAACTGAAGCAGTACTGCAGTAAATTTATGGAGCAAACTCTTGAACCTTCGAATTGCATTGGATACTTAGGCCTGGCTAAAGACTATGACTTCCCAAATTTTCAATGTTTTGCATGGGATTATTTGAAAAGATATTTTTATGAAGTCATACACCACGATGAAATAATGTGCATATCTGTTAACAACCTGCTCGATCTTATCAATAATGATGAGATTGTTGTTGAACGTATCTGTGACGGAAAGCCATTAACAACCGAGCTATCAGTATTTAAGCTTGTAGTAAAGTGGACACAAGCTGATTTAGATGAGCGACAGATCAATTTTCCAAAACTGTTTGCAAGTATTCGCCTTTCAATGATATCACCAAGTATCTTAAAAGACACTGTATTAAATTGTGAGCTTGTGAAAGAATTCCCAGAATGCACTGAAATGGCGACCAACCAACTGCAGTCTAATGCTACTGTTGTCAAAGATACAAATGCCAGAAGAGGGAAAACAGAGGAAGTGGTAACTATGCTGTGTGCCACATCATTAGACAAATCAGCTGATTTGTGTTGTTTTGTCAAACAAAGATGGGTAAAGATGCCACAGATGATAAAGTCCCTTTCACTCACAGCCATGGTAGTGCATAACGGCATCTTGTATGCCGCTGGTGGTTTCGCTGATGAAACGGCTAAAACAACAAAACCATCAACTTTGTTTTGTGCCTATAACCCTCTGTTAAACAAATGGACTCAACTTCCAGATTTAATTGAAGCAGGTGGTGGAGGTACACTTTTAGCTGATGGTAATATCTTAGTATTTCTTGTAGATGGCAGACATCAGAATAGACGTCAAGACTATTTCTTTATGTATCAGGTTCAGGTGTTCAACACTATGACACAAAAGTGGAGTTTAACAGCTGCACTGAATGTGCCACTATTAGGTAGATTTGCTCTCACAAATAGTTCTCTAGATGGGTTCTGCTTGATCAGTTGGTCTCGGTTAACATCACAGATCATCACACACAGATATCATTTCAACTGTGCGAAGTGGGAAAGCTGGCGGTGCCCAGATAAGCAGCTCGTGTCCGGTCATAAATATCATATTGTCACATTGAAGGAACAACCATACCTGTTTTATTTCACTGATTTCAACAGTGTTCATTATCTCTATGATCTGGATAGACTTCAGTGGTACGAAGCATGTTATCTTAACATTCAAGTTCATAACAGTGACTCCATAGCGTCATTTTTTATTTGTGACGACAAAATCTATTTGTTTGGACGTCACATTTATTCAATGAATTTAAAAACCAGTAAATTCCTAAACCAGTCACCAGTGCCTCCAGGTTGCCCATCAATAGGACGACTGGGTGGTGAATATTGTGTGTTGCAAGTGCCCAATCAGTTTACACAAGAAGTGAAGAGAATGGATAATTACCCATAAAGCACTCTGAAGATATAGCAATTATATGGTTGTAATGGTGCTGGCGAGAACAACAGTTTGTGCATGGAAGGTACTAACGGAAGGAGCCACGACGCCTCTCAAGTGGCCACTTAAGCTTCTTAACAGGCTTATTTTCTTTTGTTTCAACCCGAGTTAATCCTGATGAGGATATTGTCTAGGTCATCTTTGATGTCGATGATAGTTTGCGATTGTTTACACAAGTAACAAGTTAGCAGAGTATGATGCAACCCCGCCAATTTTTAAATGTGACCATAAAATATATGTGCATTATGAAACTACGGTCATCACACATGCGCACTCGGTTTGTTTAGGTGTGAAGGGTCCAAATATGTATTTCACAACCGGAAATTCAACAGATGAACGTTTGACTTCAAAGATTTCACATGTTTTAGTTATTAGCAACTGCAACAAGAACAAGATTTCGAGTGGCTACAACAAAATTTTCTAATGACTCTTAAAAAATATTATCAAAGAGAAAGTGTCTAGGCATGCCCCTCTTTTGATACTATCTTTTCTGGTGGTGTTTGCCGGTGCCCGGTGGTCAAAAATTTCAATAGTTTTGGGTGTCAAACCCACGCAATGACAATGGTTCCATTGAATAATGCAATCGTTATTGTAACAGGCAATCATTGATTAAGTCTCATCACCGTTACAAATACAAAAAGATTCACGATAGTTCATCAGTTAGTTCATAAATTTTTCATTAAAGTTCGCCAAGATCTCCGGAAACAACAGCATTCAAACTAGACGCCATTTTCAGTATTGTACATGCGAGGTTCGTCTATCGCTTCCGAACATGCTCCGAATATTACCGAATGCTCGAGACTAGCATAACTCATTGTACGAAGGTGTTAATAGCTAACGAGAACCAATGTTTGTGAACAAACATTGACAAACGATCATGGGGCAAAGCTAAAACAATAGAGTCTTGGCTCCTTCCGTTCGTACCTTCCATGGTTTGTGAAAGTCATTGTGATTCTACATGTATGTCTTCAGGACCCAAGTGAAAGTCACTTCAATTCTATGTCTTTAGGACCCAAGTGAAAGTCGCTGTGATTCCATGTCTTTTGGACCCAGTGAAAATCACTGTGATTCTATGTCTTTAGAACCAAAGTGAAAGTCATTGTGATTCCATGTCTTTAGGACCCAAGTGAAAGTCATTGTGATTCCATGTCTTTAGGATCCAGTGAAAGTCATTGTGATTTCATGTCTTTGGGACCCCAGTGAAAGTCATTGTGATTCCATGTCTTTAGGACCCAAGTGAAAGTCACTGTGATTCTATGTCTTTAGGACCCAGTGAAAGTCACTGTGATTCTATGTCTTAGAACCCAGTGAAAATCACTGTGATTCCATGTCTTTAGAACCCAAGTGAAAATCACTGTGATTCTATGTCTAAGAACCCAGTGAAAATCACTGTGATTCCATGTCTTTAGAACCCAAGTGAAAGTCATTGTGATTCTATGTCTTAGAACCCAGTGAAAATCACTGTGATTCCATGTCTTTAGAACCCAAGTGAAAATCACTGTGATTCCATGTCTTTAGAACCCAAGTGAAAGTCACTGTGTTTCCATGTCTTTAGAACAAAAGTGAAAGTCATTGTGATTCCATGTCTAGGACCCAAGTGA